TGGGTTAGGTTAGGTTAGGTTGGGTTAGGTTAGGTTAGGTTAGGTATCTTGACCTCATTCGTACCGAGCTAATGAGTTTCAGAGGGGTGGAATGTTCAGGAAAACAGAGTTTCAAAACGCATAGGTTGTTGTTTTATGTACTTAGTGTTATTAGTGTTTCTTACCAGCTAGAGTAACCCGTTAAAGTTGACGGGAATGAAATTTTTTTTGTGTGTGTTGAACAGTAATACAGTTTATTGCAGAATTATCTTTGCAAATCGCATTGAACGCAGAAAATTGATAAAAGTTCTTGTTAAATTATATTAAATGTGAAAAAATCTTCACTGCGTGTTTCGTTACATTCAGGGTGAAACTATACGGAGCAGAGACCTGCTTGAGAAGCTGATAGTCACTCAGATAGTTCGTTGTTCGCCTCTTATGGCACCCGAAGGCTCACTATCGTATTCAGGACAGACCCTACACCCCGACTCCTACGTATGCCCTCTCTTCAGGTTATCCGACCAAAATTTTGCCTATGCGTTCTGCATGCCTGACCAATCTCACCCTCCTTTATGTTTGTTTCATGATAATAGGATCAGGCGAGGAGTTCCCGCCAAGTTATCCCTTTGGGGCCCCAAAGGTCCCCCCTCAGTACCCTGGCCTCGGGCAGGACGGCGTCACAACCCGGAAGACGTACAGCTACGTTTTCACCTGCGCGAGAAACTTAGATCTCAATATTTGTTCTCCCTTTGATGCAAGAAATCCAGACAAAATTTTAGTTTTTTGTTATAATTTAATATTTTACGTTGTGGAGTGCAGATGACAACACAAAAAGTAAGCGGAAAGTTTTCCGGTAATTAAACACAGCTTCATGTACCACATAAAAATTCTGAAATGCTAAAACTGTGCGGGTATTTTGAAATTAAATATTTAGTGGTCGCAGGGGGAAACAAAGCTAGGTTTTTTGTTGTAAGTTGAAGGCGGGGTGAGACGTAACTGAAGTTGACCGACGACCCCGTTTTGAATTTACTTCGACGACGCGTGTGGGGACAGAACAAGTTCGCTGAGGAAGTGACTCTCCACATATTCGCAGGTCGTGTTCTACCCCGTCCAATGAATGAACGGTTTATGAACGCATTATATATCTGAAGTACGACATGATCGGAAATTTGTCTGCAAATTCTTTTTTGGAACACCCTGTATGTTTAGTAGTGCCAGGGTAGGAACGGCGCTGTTTATTGATCGAGACTTTGGTCACCTAATGACACAGTTTCTCGCGGTCGAGTGGTTAGCATTCCTTAGGTTTTCAATGTCGGTCCCGGGGGCCGGCTATCCTAACACGCTTTTCGTGGTTTTACTCCGTCTTACAGGTAAATTGCGGGACAGTGCCTTGAATTATACCACGATCGCTTCTTTCAACATCCTTTCTAGTTCACTGTTCAACTATCCCTATATATTGTCCGATGATACGGTCTGAGCAGTGTTTTGCTGTATCCTGACGCAGGAACAAATACGTACATCCATCATGTCTCGTCCACTTGTTTATGTGATGTTTATCTGAATCAGACGTCTTGTTAATTAATGTCTTATCTCGAACTAATATTCATGTTCTCGTGACTACAAGGACCGGAACAAAAAGTCCTTAACCCTGTTCCAGTTTCAACCAGTCGAGGAACACGGGCGATGCTCGATCGATAGTTTTTGGTCGAAACTCGTTTTAACTCGTCAGAGTCGGCCAGAATGAGCGCATTGTTAGTCCGTCGACAGAAATGGCTTCCTGAAGCCCTGATTCCTAGCCTCATCTGTCATCATTTTTCAAGGAAGTTTTTCGTGGGCGACTTAGCCCCGTTTTGGAATTCTGTTGTGGAGACATTAATTCGAAAACTTTCATCGAAACATTTCACAGAACAGAAAACAGCTATAAACACTGTAAAGTTTAAAATATGCAAAACTGTAAGATGTTTCGTATGGGCGTCGAACTCACACTAAGGAAAGGAAATATATCGGGGGCGTTTGAGCACTGAGCCGTGACGAGAGTATTTGGTCATCATTTAGCGGTTCGTTTCTTGAGTCGTTCCAGAAAACCTTTCCAAGTCGATCACGTGACATGCCAGTGTTTTAACTGTTAGATGTTTGCTGGCCCCCACTTCCAACCCCCAACACGTTGGCTCCCTGAGAAAACTCTCGCGTCTACCGAGGTGACATAGCTCCTACCTTGTTTCACCGTCTGTTAGGACCGGATTGTAACACGAGCTGATAAAATTTTTCGAAAGTTATCAGCATGAGTCCAAAAGTTAGTCTGACTCACTGATTATGGGATATCGAACATGTGAGAGCGTGTTTTGTGTTTGGTAAGTCTTTCCAACATTTCAGCTAACATCGAGGATGTAATTTTTAGGGTAAATGCCATTGATGGGTTAAAAACAAAAGAACGTCCACAAATATCGTCTCTGTACCACAAGAAAATCCATAAATAAATACCATTTATAAGCAAAATAAATAACCAAACACCTCGAGGTCCTTAACCATTCATATACAAACCTAATACCAATAAATGAAAAAAAGTTGAAGATAATTTTGTATAATATAATAAATAATAGTATGAAGGCATTAAGATGTCAGAGATATTGTATAACTTCTGATTAAGATTATGTTATAAACCTCAACTTTAGAGGAACGTTAGATTCTAGATCCTTACAGATTTACGCCAGAAAAATATCATAATTAATAATTTGATCTTTGTTATAACAAACTTAACTAACGGGTTATGTTACGAATGCAAGCAAGGCCATTGGCTTGTGCCCAGTACATCACATGATCCAGTCATTCTTCTTCTCTGTCCATGCCATTAGCCCTGAAGATTAAACGGCAGTGTGCCGAAACGTCGGAAGAACTTCAGCAAAGCTGCACAAAAGCCAAAATAGATCTCATGCACTGGACTCCGACCGCTGAAATTAAGCTTCGTGAATGTGCTACTTCAATGTACTTCAATGCACTTCAATCTACTTCAATGCACTTCAATGTACTTCAATGCACTTCAATGCACTTCAATGTACTTCAATGTACTTCAATGTACTTCAATGCACTTCAATGCACGAATTTAGTCTTACATTGAAACATGCTTTCGGTTCGCTCCGTAATTTAGAGTATTGTTGTTTGTAGTGTAGTATAGTCTAGTGTAGTTCAGTGTAGCATGTTTAAATGTTCTGTAGAGTTGTAAGTAGAATGCACTTCAATGCACGAATATACTCTTACATTGAAACATGCTTTCGGTTCGCTCCGTAATTTAGAGTATTGTTGTTTGTAGTGTAGTATAGTCTAGTGTAGTGCAGTGTAGCATGTTTAAATGTTCTGTAGAGTTGTAAGTGTGTTGCACTGGAAAACTATAAAATAGTTTTTATGACTGGACTCAAAACAAAATGAAATCTACAATCGATACAACTCATTAGCAAGTCCCCAGGAAATTAGCCACTAGTAAAAGTTGCATGTCAGTAGCCTGTAGTTTGTATGTTACTTCTCTTTTGCTGGACGTTTTCTGGTTTTTATGACTGATAAAATGAGTAACGAGGCGAATTCCCGTGTGTGTAAAAGCGTGAAACGATTTATTTGTAGAGAAAATTATTTTTTTTCGTAATTCTGTCAACGAGATTCTACCAGAAAGCCTGGACTCAGGACACTGTTTAGTGAAACATACTTAGCAATACTTGATACAGCTTAACAGATATTTGATTGAAGGTTTTCATTGATCAGTGTTATTAGAACGTGCCCACAGTGCAAAGTATTGTTATGACCACGTGCGTCTCCAAATACGCTCATCAGTTGCCAGATGCAATGGAATCCTAAATCTCGTAAAAAGCTCGCAGTACACGGAAATTGTATATACCAATTCGTTTATATATGAAGGTCTATATAGCAGTGCAATGCTTAATTTTAAAAAAAATTAAATAAAATCTAAACACATCATTCTACCAGACTTCAGTGTTCAACATTCAAGAAGAGTCAGTTGAATAAACATTTTCTTGGATATTATCCATCGTCTAGTAAATATAAAACGTAAAACGACGTTTCGGAGATGGGACTCTATCTCCGTCTTCAGGTTCCTACACAAGAGTAATCTTTATTTTCGTAGCCGTGAGAACCTGAAATCTCACCAGTTTTAGGGCAGTATTTGAGTTAAAATGTTCAGTTAAGTTCGTAAAATTAAACTATCTCTGTGTTATGAAGTAGACTTCAAGTGTCTATGAAGCAGCTATCTGCCTATAGACCTTCATCTATGCACTCAAAATTGCATAGATCCGTATAGAATATTTGATTGTGAGTTACAAGTTTCCTGAAGTAGTTCACGTGCCCTCAGATATTCATTACAACATTCACCAATAACATCAACGCTGAATTCTCAGGTCTCTCCGAGATGAAATATCTCGTTGCACACACGGAACTCGGTCTTCAACTGTTTTTCATGGCGTCTTGTGGGAAATTATCTTAAAGTGATGATAATTAGTCTAATAGATTGTTCGAAATGGTTTCTGTAATAGCAGATTTATTATTAATATTTGATACTGAAATCGAACGAAGTATATTAGAAATAATTTTGAAGAAGCCATGCTGATTCTATTCTAATATTTTTAATTTTAAATCTAATTTTATGTAAACGTTGTAAAGTTAATTTTTCAGGCCTGATTTACAAATAACCCAAAATGTCATACGCAATACTTTGACGTAATTACTTATTACGATGTAATTAATAATTTTATAGCAGAGTTTCGTGTTCATATGCCACTCATCCTGCAGATGATATTCGTATGAATTTCCGTAGAATCTTCCCAGATATTTAACTAATTTTAATAATTAACTGAGGGCACAGTAATTAACAGTGTCTGGTAGATGAATTCGAGGGACGATGAACCTTCAGGAAACCAAGAGGTGGAGATAGGTAAAATGTATTTTGGAGATCACGTGGGTGTGTGCTGTGATGTGAAGGTTGAGTGCACACCGCAAAGTAATGTTTGTGCGTTGAACAGGGCAAGGCGGCATGGCAGGAGAGAGACCGACAGCGGAGGGCGTCAGCCGCCGAGGTAGCCGTCAACCACCGGATCAAAGCGACGGAAGCTCATCGGCGATGGATGAAGAAGAACAGAGTAAGTCCCTCTGACCCGTTGTAATGTGTCACTCGCGACTCCCCTTTTCGAAGGCAGACGAATTAATAAGCGAAACTTAACATGCTCAGATCGAAGAATAGTGTCTTCTGGGACGTTGCGACGTGTAGTCTAACTTGACCGACGTTTCAGACGTGCAAAATGTATATGTTATCAGGGAGACGATGGGGGTAATAAGCATCTCTGAAACGTCGGATTCTACGAGACCATACGGCGTAACATTGCGGAAGACGGCCATCTTAATACTCGCTGCCATGAGAACCTGAAATCTCACAATGTTTGAGTGAAGTGATTTTCCAGTTATGAGTACTAACTAAAAAGCTTGTTGTTGCTTAGCGGGTTAGAACTCTACTTATATATAGAACCCAGATGTTTAGGTTAAAATCAGAGTTAATTATTGTTATTTGTTTACAGAAGTGCGTTGAGTGAAATGATAGTGAAGAGAGTAGGTTTGTCTGTCCGTCCGTCCGTCCGTCTGTCCGTCCGTCCTCATACTATTATCTTCAGCATTAGAAGCACATGTTGGCCGGACCGCTATTTTAGGCCTATGAGGGCATTTGAAGAATTATCAAATATAGGATGATAAGATATACGGGGCATATAACACGCATTGGAGAGAGAGAGAGAGATTTACACAGCATTTTGGTCAGAAATTACAGAAGGAACAGACCGCTTGAGCGACTTACCCTAGATAAGTGGATAATATTAAAATGTATCCTAGAGAATTTTGTTGTTCGTATGCAGATTGGATTTATCTGGCTGATGGTAAGGTCACTGCTTGGTTGTTGCGAACAACTTAGGGTTCCATAATAGGCGTGGTATTTCTTCATTAACTGTGCGATTATTAGCGTCTGAAGCAGAACTTTTCTCCGTCCCGTCGTCATGGTGACCAGCCGCACGCAATTGCAGAAAATTGTGAATTCAGATGCTATGCGGGTAGCCCTGTCAAGGCGGCCTTTTGCTGTTTTCGTCGTCAGGAATTAATGCCACGAAACCCTCTGATATTGGAATTCCAAGCAAACTGGATATTCTATATTTTTTTTCGAGAAAATAATTCGAAAGCTGCCCAGGTCCGACCGTTTCAGGCTCCGCACGTCTTGACCACTTTCGACAAAACTCGGCCTAATAGGCTTTTATTATTTGTATCTGCACTCTTCACCGTTTACTATTAAGGTGATCAAACCAAGGAGGGAGACACATGTAGGAGATGACAGATTTGTACAAAATTTGGGTGGGAAGAGACCACTCGGAAGACCTAGGCCTGGATGGAGAACAATATTTAAATTTATATTGCGAAAATATGATAAAAGGGTGTTGACTGGATTTATCTGGCTCAGAACACGGACCTGTTACACGCTTTTCTTAACACGGTAATGAACCTTAGTTTATATGAAAGGCCGGGAATCTTTGACTAGCTGTGCGACTATCAGGTTCTCATGCAAGATTCTGCTCCACGGCGTTAGTTACTAAGTTTGTTACAGTTAACTATCTTCGAAAGTATATTCCTCTCGGAAAACCATTTAGATGCACTAAATTCGGTTTGTTCGATAGTTCCCACTTTGGCCATCAGATTGCAGCACCTCACGTCTTTCCTCATCCGTAAATTTTGTAATCGCCTCTCGTAGGATATTAAAAAGTACGGTTGTGAGGTCGTGCAGAATGGCACATACTCCACACCAAATTTCATCCGAATCCGTCCAGTTGTTCCCGAGTTAAATCGACTGGACGGACGGGCCAACCCATAATGCGTTCTTGCTATGACGCATAACAACCAATGTTTGTGTGTCCAGATCCACGACTCGTCGTTCAGCGGTAGCAGTTCGGACGACGAGGACTACGCCGGGGGTCTGTACGGGCATCAGAACTCGGCTGCCAACGCCCTGCTCTACGTCGGTCTGGGCACTATCGCCATTGGCCTCGTCATATCCTTCGTCGGAACAGGAGAGAAAGGCTTCAAGACGTTGGAGCTCCGTCTCATCGGCCCCACGCTGATTGGCAGTGGCTTGATGTGCTGTCTCATCAGGATTTTCCTCTGCGTCTGCCCTTCGAAATGTTTCCAGCGACGTCACAAACACAGACATCGCCATAAGAATTCTGTAAAGAGCAGTCACCTCGGCGACCTCCTACAGCAGCCATCTGCAGGACATTTCAATCATAACAGTTTCTTCGGAACTGCAAACAGTGATTCCAAAGATCATAATCGTACAGAAGACATAGCGATGGCAGATCAAACCAAACTTCTTCGAAATAATATCAACAAGAAGACTGTGTCCATTGTAACTACACCAGTTGAAACAGCAACGACATCTAACTTACCATCAGGATCTTCCGGACACAACCACCGCCAACAAAATGACATATCATTATCATCATCATTGTTCTTGAAGCACGAACGACAATGTTCGACCTTCAGTAACCGCGCTCACCCATTGCAAATCCCAACGATCAACATTCCTAACTTCGTTGGTAGCAACGACGACGAGGAAGATATTTTAGGATCACGTCAAGAATCCAAGCGAAAACACAGCAGTTCGTTAGATTTAGAACTGCAGAAATTGGACTCAGGTAGTTTTGATATAAGTACTTTTGAAAGTAGCAACGAGATTGGTGGAATTTTACGAGTCGCCGGAAGTGTCGAGGGTTCTGGAAGATATCGTGACGGTGATAAGCGAAGAACATCTTTGACTAGTGTTCATAGAAATGGCGGCGCGACACTAGCGATCTCAAAGGCGGTGGCGGCAACTACTGTGACTTCTCCTCCGTCTACGAGGATCGGGCTCGTAAACCCTGACCCCGACGCCCATAAACTGGAAGAAGAACTGGAAATGTCATCGGCGATTTCAAAAGACCTGCACGACCCATTGTCTTCTTATTCTTCCCTTGGTAAACATTCGGACATTGACAGTCTGTTGCAGAACGAAATAGTTCTTAGTCCGTCGAAACTGCAGCAGACAGGAAGAGACACGTGAGGTGATTATATAAACGTGTTCTTCTCGGGTTCGTCTTGTTTCCAGCTTTTACAATTTCTTTCCTTTTTACTATAAAATAAAATATAACAAATAAACCTCTAGAATAATGACGCCAAATGATTTTAAACATTCCACAGACTAACGACAATTATTAATTTATTAATATTATCTCTAACCTTATAATTTCATTTTGCTCACGAATGGTTTCTCCGTTAAAACGATTAAAATTTAAAAAAAAAAAATCACACTAAAGACGATGATCCCATTTCAAATGATACCCAGTGGTCACTCTTTTTCCTACCAGAGCTGTTTATCGTATCACTGAAGGGACAACACGTTCTCAAAGGTCTCATTTGTCTCTCTGATCGATATTTTATCTCCCTACAATCGTTCTCAATACTCGTGTAAACATTTACTCCGTGTTACACGACCAGATATTTTGATACATCGACGATACACAACTGTCAATATAGGCCTACGTAATAGACAGTTGAATGAGTGACTGGAAATGGCAGCCTGTACTCACACGAAAATATACCCCACGTTCCAGATCTTGAATAGATTCAAAATTTGGTCATAAAAACAGCGGACACGTAGAATTTCTCGTGTTTATCTAAGGGTCCTCCTTAGCACCTAATGGGACAAAGTTGGCGTCATTCTTCTAGAATTAGCTGGATAAAATAATAATAATAATAATAAACAGACATAGTGTGCCTCATTTGCAGACTTTTTACTGTGACTGAGTCATAGAAATGTAAAATTGCACAATTAGACAAATTGAAGTTACCATCATATACAGCGCGTCCCACAAGTTCCCAGCCGTAGGAGAATTATATAATTCGGCAAAATACGGAAAAAAATGTAAAGAGAGGAGAAGTTCTTGCAAGCCTTTCGTTTCTGGTCTCGGGTGTTGGGATTTCTCGCCCACAAAGATCAATTTTCTTCATCGACAAAAAAAGTTACGTCGGCACTGCACTTCCGAGGTCGTTGGTATTTTCCTGGTTTCACCCAATTCGTGTTCAGTGCATCCCTCAGTGTCTTTTTCGCCGCCATTTGTCTCTGCCCGGGGCAAAAGCCCCCATTCTCTGTCATGTCAACGTGGCAACGTCGCATTCTATCGTCCTATCTGAAGAATTGCAACACCTAAGCTTCAAAGACACGATTTGCAACAATTTCTCTCTCTTTATACAATTCCGTATTTTGCCAAATAACCGAGTTCTCCAATGGACGGGAGCTTGTGGAACACCCTGTATAACATCGCTTTACCTGTGCACAATCTTCGTAAAATTTTCATTTCTTTAGCTGCTGGTATCAAGGAGGAATGTAAGGTACCCGTGGGTAATAAGACCTGCCTGAGGATAAAACGAAAGTAAAATGCTTAGAAAAGAAGTTTTTCTGAAAAATATACGTCCATATGCGCTATTTTAGGAATCATCTCGGATATAAACAAGCAATTCAGCATTATGGGTGTTAAATCTTTGAAATTAAGACGTACGACTGAGTCTTGATAATTGGATCGGCCATGTAATGCACGTAATTACCGAAACCCAGAGTGCCGGGCTTTGTTACTCGCAGGAACCTTATTACAAAACTGATTGCGGTAAATACTACATAATAGTATATAATAATAATAATAATAATAATAATAATCTGGTGTCTACATGGATCCAGGTCCTAGTTTGTCTCTGTTCGATCGTGAAAACCATGTAAGATCTGTTTCGTCCATTGCAGCTCGTACCAGTCTTAACTTAGTCTTCACTCGTCTTGTGGAGTCCAATTCGGAGTCCATTTTTCACACACTACAGCGATAATGCAGGGAGTTTCATCAGAAGCCGAGGGTCTCAAAGATTTCCCTTAAAAGTTCTTCTCCAAGAATCCACCTATTTATTGTCCGAAATTTCAAAATGGCGCTGTCCTCTCGCGCATGTCCGTTTGGTGTCTACATCGTTTTCGAAACCCGTATTTTAAGGATTGGGAAGGAACTGCTCATTGTCCCAGAAGCATCGTGGCGCCTAAACATCGCCACTTCCTCAGTACGACGCCAATTTTTAATATGGGCAGGGCTCCCTTAGGGAGGCTGGAGACATTTCAGACAGTGTACCAAAATACGTGCTCTACACGGAACGTTGTGGCGAGATACGTGACGAATGGGAGAGGTGAAAAATCTTTACAAAATTTTAATTCGGAAACCTCAACGAATAGACTATTTGGAAGATGTTAGGGATATTATTAAAGTCTTTCGTAAAAATTAGGAAGGGTTTGGATTGGATTGATCTGGCTCATCATAAGGACCGGTGGCGGGCTCTTTTGAGTACGGTGATGAACCTTCGGGTTCCATAAAAGGTAGGGAATTTATTGAACATCTGAGAGACTGCCAGCTTCTCAAGAAGGACTCTGTTCCTTGAAGTTAGATAATGATGACCATGACGTCCGTTTTAGAAATCCTTTCATGGAGCTGCTAGAAAATGTTCAAAAACAAATTTCTCTCTTCTCTTTTTTCGATCGACACCGTAAGTGGTAGGAGCTGCACTGTGTTAAAACCCGCCCTCTGTCCATTCGACGTCTCAAATTGGCGTACACTTTCCATTGCGGATCTAAAAGACTTTCTGTGTTACTGGTGTACCCTAACAGACATGCTCGAAATTATCCTTCGAAGACCCCTAGAATCTATCAGGGTATTTCTTCGTGGAACTCAAATTATGTTACGAACATTTTTTTAGATCAGTGGAGTTGGAATACTCACTCAAAATGAACCAAATAATTATCCCAAAAACTTACTATCCGGGTTATAGACACTTTTAATATCACGTTTTGTGTTTACTGATGTAATCCATATCAAGCTTTTCAGGTTACAAGAAAGTTTTGATCTGCAAACGTGCCTGTTCAGCATGATAACAAAATGTAAATTATTATGCATTATCAGCTGTTTGAGTTATTGTTTCTAGTATCGTGAACGGAAGTCCGTGGCAAAGATCTTAATTCGTACCTCAAAGGCGGAAAGATCATACGTGGTATTGTCGACAGAATAAGATTCAATGAATAGAAATGCCATACTCCTTGATTTAGAGATCAAGAATTAAGTAACTCCGCTCAAAATCCATTATATGCGTTGCAGTATAAATTACATTGTGTTTAGATGACACCAATAATAGTCTGTTGCGTTGTGTGACCTGGTAAATGTGGTTTCGAAATGGCTGTGGAGTCTACTAAGCCTCGTAAGGAAACCTGTAAATTGTGGCGTAGGAATTACATGAATACGAAACACTGCGCAGTCGCGCAGTGTGCGCGCGCATACGGAAATGGGTCTACTTTATGCTACCGCGGCGTAATCTGTTGTGAATATTCGGCATTTATCATTTATAAATGAAATGGTAATGGTTTTAGCAAGGAGGGCGTGGTTAAAGCGTTGGAACAGTGGAGTGTTAACAGATTGGGTAAGTAAATTCATTTTCTGATTTTGTAATCACAAGTATTCCCACGTACAGCAATTTCATAATTGTTCAGAAAAAATTGTGTTGCTGAATAATCACAATGCCAGTGCTGGTTATAGAAGGATTTTTAAACGTAGTTATTGGTCTGTTATTTTTAATGTTTTAATATGAAACGTCGACGGAATATTTTACAGTTTAATAGAATATGTGATCATGTAATTATAATTAACTTAGTGGGTTACAAATGTGTCGTATTACGTCTTTGTAATAAGGAATGCTAATATTTAAGAATCTCTACTAAGCAATGAACAGTATTTTTATATTACAGTAAGGAAATACAATTTCATAATGTATTAATGATACCCAACAGTTTTTTATAAATGCATTCACAAACGCTTGTGGTTCCTGTTAGAATGTGTTTATGAATTCCCCATATAACATATAGATAAATACTAATTTATAATACCGTTTAAACTGGGCTGAAGTCTTTGTGGTATATTTGACGAAGTTGAAATCGTGAGTAGTTATAATTTAGCTTCAGTCTTTCGTGTGTTTTGTACATGCGAGGATAATAAATAAAATTGGGCATGCTTGAGTTTAAGTTTGTTTTGAGGTTATGGTAGCTTATTATTCAAATAAGCTTTAAATCCAGAGAGAGAGTGAACTTATTTCTAAATGTGGTAGTAACTTTAAAGCTACTTGCTTGCCCAGTTTATGTGAACTTTTGTAGTTTCAAGTATTACATTTGTTACGTCGTATGGGAAGAACTTTGTCTTGTAAACATGCCAAATTGGTGCTTTATTTACAATTATTAATTGTGACATAATTTTTTAACCCAAGTTCACTATTCTATTGCTGAATTTCGTCTGTGGTTACAAGATCGAACACACGTTCGACTTAGAAAAGGCAACCGGTCACCACATTGTACGGTTACACCATAATAAGATTTAAATTTAATGCATTATAATTTATAAAATGACACTGAGTCTTGTAACAAACTAATTTTTCTTTTATTATAAAATGATAAAAATTACAATTGTTCCGAGAATGCACGCTGATTTACGTTATTACCAAAACAAATTTTTAGTCGTTTGATTAACGACGAGGAATCGAATCGACTTACTCCCCTAATTTTTAGTGTTATCATACGGACAAGATGCCATGAGAACACTGAATTTGAGTCAAATTAAGTGTACTTTAGTGTTTAATTTCTGAAGGCTTAAAATGTTTGTGTTACTTTAAGTGTTCAGGAGTCACAAATCAAATAATATGCCTTCAACCCTGCGTCACAACCCAAAGACCAGGCGAACACCAGGTCTCGTAATGCAGTCTCCTATTTAATAATTGCACCAAAAGTTTTTTTTTAAATATGATTCTTATTTTTTTCATAAACGAGGATTTGTGGGCTGTATTTTATGTTCTTTGCATTGGTTACGAAGTTACGTTATATTGCCACTTTATATTTCATTGTGCCTTGTTTGATAACTTTTGAATGTGGTTGAATTCTGACGTAATTTCTGATTCACTCATTGGTTATTTAACAACACTACATCAGCTGTAGAGATTATAGGGTGTCCAGCGAGGTGAGAGAGAAAATTTATTTTTTGGTGAATCTGAAAGGATTGTGTTTGATTCCTTTTTTGAATATTTGGCTGTTTATATTAATGGAAACTACAAAATTCAGGAATATGGCTGACGATCTCTTGAATACAAATCAGACGTGTTCCTGCTTTATCAGCAAGTTTGGTCATGCATTTATGAAAAACCACTTTCTGAAATCAGATATTTGCTAATGTTTTGTTATTCAGTTGAATAATTTCGATTTTGTATCTTGTGGAAATTCAGTAACATAGACACATGACTACACAGCTTTTTTTTTGAAAATAAAGAAAAGTTTTCTGTATTTTTCTTCTAATTTCTCATGATAGCAGTAGCAGTAATATTTCGCCCGGTGGATACAAGCCGGATGTATTTCCGAGGCAGAACCTCTGTTTTAGTGTTCCAAAGAAACAAAGTTCCTTCTTCAAACTCATTTAGCGAGCTGTGTCTTAATTCAGTTCTGAACGTAATGAACAACCATTTAACACAAAATTTATACATTCGTAATAATAATACCGTTAAGGCCACGCAGACTTCTGAGGTGGGGGCAGCATGGTTTTGGGTCTTCGTACTTTGTATTGTGATAGATTTTATCGAAATAAAATTAAAAGAATGTACAAATGCAAAACCTTGGTAAAATATAACTATTATGACAGCTTGACGTATAAAATTTATATAATGAAATATGTTTATTAATAATACTGTTTAACCGGCACAGAACTGAAAGGTTTGACACTTCTAATCCCGAAGCCAGCAACGGGATGTGAAACTGATGATACAAGCGTTAGTAGGTGTTCATTATGGTTTAGCAAAGCAAATAGACGTTTCGGGCGTATTGATGTCACATCTTTCATGTCATTTTTAGTGACCTTGAAACATTTTTTTTTTTTTTAAAATTATGAACTTGGTTTAAAATTTTGCAACAGTGACCTAGGATTTTATTGGCACAAGAGTAACCCTTGATCACTCTTGTTTTCCCCCTCCAACATCGTAATCATTTATAGTGCGACGTTTAGAATTTTTGTTATAGTGTTCAAGGTCTAACTGTTCGTAACATTGGTGTGCGTCTTACGAGCAGTGAGTGCTTTCAGTAGTTGTAATTTTAATTTCCTGTTTGCATTCATCAGAGGTGATTGCAGTTGCTTGTAATCAAACAAATTAAAGTTTAAGCGACATTCTGATAACATGCGTAAAATCGAGGCTGTGTGTATTTATTGAACACCCTGTATACAAGATTTTCAGAACTTTAATCACTTCCCTACGTCAGAGTCAGTTTTCTGCTTGTGGCAGTGATTTAAATGTTCTTAAGGCTTGTTGGTTGTTTAGCTGGTATTTAATTCAAATTAAATTAAATTAAATTAAATTAAGCTGCAAAGTGCAGGAGCGAGAGTATTCATTATGTTTGTATATTTCATTTACTTTCTCGCATCCACCGCGTACATTTGATCATAAAAACGAATAAAACGAAGAAATAACTACAAACATCACGTGTGACAGGTTTTTTTTTACTCAAGTATATTATTAAAAAAGCTGGAAAACTATGAAATATGAACTCCGAGGAAGAAATCATTTAGGAACGTATCTAAAAGTGTGAATACGTGCCGTTTTGTGATGCCTGCAGCAGGTCAGATGAGCCTAATTATTATTGAGTGTAATATAGAGGAATTAACATGATAAAGTGGTATAAATATATTAATGGGGAAGATAACATGGTCCATTATACAAAAGGCACATTTTTGGGATGCTGTTTGTACACTGTAGTGCCTGAACTGTTCACGAAACAACGTGGTATTAAAAGTGTCTATGCCAATCCTGTGAACACCTGAAAAATCATGGATACTTTATTTTGTACGTTGCGCGTCAGACACTCGTATTAGAAAACCGGACTGCCGTGTCTATAATTGTGATTTATGTGTACAGGTAAAAAAAGTATCTTTTGAATACGAGGTAACTGAATAGTTTTCTAATACGAGCGTAAGTCGTGTCTGTCGTGAAAGCCGCTGCTTGGAACATAAATGGCAGTCCATTTCAATTCACCACGTTTAATGTACGAAGTTGACAAAATGGTTGCCTTGTTTCTAACTGTGAAACAGGGTTACAAGTGCCGTGTAAAATAACAAATTATGTTTGATTTTATGCTGCATTTTACAGACCTATTCCATTATTTGTGCAATCTTTCAAAACCTAACCTAACCTACACCAATTTAAAAGTATATAACACGATTATTGTAAATATTATACATATGTATGTATATATGAAAGATACGTCATAGTGAAGAGGCGATGTTGCGAATGTATAGACGGCTATTTAGAGTTTTATTGACATATCAAATAAAGATACTTTATAAGATTGTAGGGTCTGTACCTGCACTTAATACTACACTACTGTGTGTAATTTTGTTTAATTACATCATGCTTCCTTTAGGTACGAAGATTTCCCAGTAATAGAGGTCACCACACATTAATATTCACAGCGAAGTTTCTCCTTAATTTGCAAGTTTGATTTTAAAGATATTAGATTTTTAAAACACGAGCGTGTCTCAGTTATGTTGTCTAATGATTCGAAGCAGTCACTTTGCATAGGATAATAATACATTTTATGGGGATATTGTAATAATCTATCCATCACGTGTTCTTTTTTAAATAATTGTTACTATACAGTATAGTCAGTTAAGATGCCATCTTGGTCTGTAGCATTATTCCGTCAGTGGTGTAGTTCTTTAGTTCCTGCTCACTGATTTTGTAGCAGCAGTTGCAAGAAAGTGTATTTTTATTTTTGAAGAATGAATAAAACTGATCAGGAAGAGAAATATTATATCCCCAGAGAAATTAATCGAAGTGTGGAGTGCAATAGTGTAGTTAGACTGATAAACTTCAGTCGCATTTTTCAACATTCTTGGATTATGTTACTGCAGTATTACATATTTTCACAGAATCTAAAGTGTACGGAAGAAGTTATGAAAACTGCCAAAACATACGTAACCTTGTTCTATTTTAAGTTATTGAATACAGAATAGTTGAACAGGAGTTATGATATTGAGGTTATGTGAGCAAGATATGAAAGTAAGAACCACTATAGTAAAAAACGCTAGACACATTTGAAAAACAAATTACGAACATGCAAAAGTATGAAAAAAGCTAGACACATTTGAAAAATATGTTAACGAAAACAAATTACGAACATGCAAAAGTATTCTAGTTTCTCACTTTTCGATATACATATTAAAAAGTAGAACTGTCCTGCTGTGCGCCGTGTAGGCTGTTGAGGGGGAAATGAGGTTAGGTATATTGTTTAGTTTTAAATTGCTGACATCCACATCTCATTTGTTGCACCATTGTGGGATTTATTTATAAATGATATATTCATAACACTGTGAACATATAAATTTATAGAAAACAAAGTATAATGCAGTTAATAATATGGCCTTTTCATCCCTTGCTTTGGTCTTGGATGAAGTCATTTTAACTCCTTATATACTAAGTATGTACCTGACTCCTGGGCACAGCGAGGTCAAGGTAACCTCACGTGTGCGACTGCTTCGTCTCTGAGCTGCGTCGAGTTTCGGTACCTAATACAACTTTTACTGTAAATGCGACGTAAAGGTTTTGAAGGAGGGGATAGGAAAATACAATGAAATTTCCATGTAATGAAATTCAAAACCAGCCTTTTGGAATTTGTTACACAGATACATATTTCCCGACGGCGTGGTGCTTAAGCGCAGGGACAGCTTTAATTCGTCAACACGCTATATAGATTTCAGCCTATAGAAATGGGCTTAAATATAAGTCCCTGAGATCCATAATTTGCTTTGTTATAAAGAGGTTTTGATACATGAAAATTTTCTTGTATCGTGTAACATTTTGAAATTTTTTTATTATAAAAACCACTTTCACGTATTTACAACCATTTTAAGATAAAAATCCAGATCTACCAATACAAGAAACAAAAACATCTATACAAATTAATTTCTTTGTGATCTGTACATGATAATCATAGATATCACTAAATTAAGTGTCGCATTACAGAGTATAAGCCGAGAGACGGGCCCATTTATAAACATACAAAACAAAAAGGAAATGCACATACAATTATATAGGCTTGTATATGCAAATGCACCCTCATCTTAAATCTGTCGTAATGTTAAAATTACACGAACAGATGAAACGAAACTGAATCTGCCAATTAAATATTAAAAAATGGTAGGGACTCAATCGACCACAGCTCTTCATACGACAATTTTTTCAAAATTATAAACACTCCACAAACTGATTGAGATATACGGTTATCTAGTCACAAGAGCACACTCAACATCTCAAATAAAAGTTTCCACCGAGAAATCATTCTCTCAATAATATTGATAATTATATAAGGAAAAGGTTTAAGACATCTTTAAGAAGAATCAAAATGTACCTCACAAATGGAATGTCTAGAAGGGGAAAAAATAAAACCTCTTATACATTCTCTGAACACATTTTAGTTAAAAACTTAATTTCTTTTAATCTGGGCTTGTCTTTAGGGGGTTAATGATATAAGTTGTGTTTTTTTTCGTAAGTTTTATATTCAAGCAATTTCATGAAAACAAACTGTTACGCTGAAGAATGACCACTTATTGGCATATGCAAAGATTTTTACTGCTTTAACAGACTCAAATTTCCCTGTCAATGACGCCAATCAGCGAGGTACAATTTGCAAAACTCTTTTGAGTAACATAAAATGGTGGTTGAATAATGTACAGAGGTCTTCTGGGTTGTCGTTCCATGTTTACCAACATTGCTCTGATGATGGAGGCGCTACAAACCAGAAGGCAGCCGTCTTTGAACTCACCACCGTAAAAACATAAAATACTTCCGAGTAGTTTACAGATTTATATCATAGTGCAGCAACTCAGTGCAGAACTTCTGAAGAGTGACAGAAGGTGGGAGCGATAGCTGATCGACACCGTCCCCTCTCAAGCAGCACAAGTCGAGTGTTCCTTTGGCCTGTGAAGGATGACCTGGGACTCTGTAGACTCCTGGTGTATACATCGTGCCTTGCAAGTGTGGTAAAGTCTACATTGGGCAGTTCGGCCATTCTATCGAGACCAGAGTCGAGGAGCACCGGCGCTACATCCAGTTGCAGCATCCAGACAAATCCGCCATGGCCGAACACAGCATCAACTTGGGCCACGGCATTCAACTCCAGGACATCGCAATCCTGTCCGCCAAATCCAGATGTGTGCACTGGACGATCAGGAAGTCAACCAAGATCAAGCTAAATCCAAACACGAACAGAGGACGGCCTTCGCCTGAGCTGGTCATGGACATAGGAAGCATCTAATAATACAGCAGCGCCAGTTCCAACTGGGCTACTGTCGCTAGTCATTCTGAGGATACAACCCAGCCCTCGGCACGTCCGTATTTTCACCGTATTTTCATCACATCCATCCACCTAACGTATGTCCAGTGATCATCTACTGGACCACGAGGGCTGCTTTCTCAGATCCTTCTGTCAAGTCCTTACGCCTCCTGCTTGTCAGGTTGCAGTTCCTATTGGTTCCCAGGCCCCTACCTGATCGTGACGCCACTCCCCACTTGTCAGGCCGAGGGTATGCGAAAACCGTCAATTTCCAAACCAATTCCATGCGCAGAGCTTAATGATCACCCTGATGATGGGGGCAGCAAGGGCCTCTGAAACGCTACAAGACTATACGGAGCTACAATACAGAAGACAGCCAACCGCTGCAAAATTCTATTCGTTTCTTTCCGAGAGATTTCTTTTTTGGCGATGGAAATGCAGGATTTTGAGAAGAAAATCTCTTTCCATCCTTCAAGATTCTTTTTACAGATGAGATAAATACACTAGTAGCTTCTCTAGTTGACCGAGCAATATTATAATCCGACTTATACTTTCCTTTATGTAGTTTCAAATACTCTAAACCACTTCTGTTGCCTACCAGCTACACTTTTTGATACTGACCACACGTTATCGAAAAACTAAACTGTTATATAAAGATTTTACTTGATATCCTGAACAGAATCCAAAGTAATAATCTCAAAATTTCCCCAATTAAATACTCCCACAAAACAAAAGTTACAAAGACAAGGACAGAATAACGCCCTAGTGACTCCCATCCCGAAGTAGGAGTACGATGGGCAGCGCTCGAGTTCCGACATACGCGGCGGAGGGTTCGACACCAAGTTGTTATTTACACTATACGCTGTGGTCTGGTATTTTATTAATTTTATAGCCTAGTTTCACATTTTTGTGCTACAATATTATCATCAGGGCATGAGCCACATATTTTGCAATCAAAACCAAAACTACGATGTCCTGCATAGGCTATTTATGTAAATATTTGCACTCTGTAGCTTTCCACATGGCTGGAAGGATAACGAATAACATATTTTCTCATGGCGTGTCAGTAATCCAAAGCCCACTCATTGTCCTGCAGAAACGCATCGACCACTTCCTTCATCGCAAAGTTTGGAATAAGCTGGTCTTGCGTTAACTTCACTCTTGTTACAGGATCAAAATGTCCCACCCTCTGTGGAGAAGAGAATTAAATTAATCAGATTTAGTTTTAAATTTGATATGATGTTCTTTTGTAAAACACGCTTCCTAAATCGTGTCTAATTATTCCGTTGGACTTTATCCATGGTCAAAGTGTTTTCTAAACTTGGGCAAGATGGCTGACTGCACGTATTTATCCTTTATTCCCTTACCCTCTTTCCCGTTCTTACGTCTTTGTACGGACTTGGCGTGGTTTGAGACGTAACATGGTGGATTTCTGACGTGGAAACTATTTTCTGTTTAGCTGAATTAAACACGTCGTACACTTGATATTTTATGATTTACAACTTTGAAATATTTCTTATCTCCCACAGATGATTTTGGATTGGGGTTAAAAATTCTGAGTTTTCTCCATCTGTGCCGATTGTCCAAACTTGACGTCATCTAGACTACAGGGTCTAGCAACGTAGGGTTTTCCTTCTACCTTAAGACAGAAACAACTTGCAAACCAACGTGGTTTCAGTTACGAAATACAACAGAATAATTATGCACACTGTCAACACCTCATCAGGAACCGTTGAACTATGGTTGTGAAACGTCAGAAATAGTAAAACTATAAGAAATTTAAGTACGCCAGAATTTTTAAACTTTACCAATTCAAGGATCTTACTTCCAAAGATTTCAAGACCCTGTCTTCCTACTCTCTTCCCCCAAATTTTCACCATCATCAATAACAAATCAAAAGCACTAAATGAAAGCTTACTTCAGCAGAAAATCTCTGAGAATCATAATTATGCACATGGTTCACACACTCTGTATAATAATTGCGTGCATGCCCTTTTCTGTATACAATCTTATGAATAACACTCAAAAGTACTCTGAATCTGGAACATCTCCGCTTTCTCGTGTCATGTCAGCCCGGAATTTAGCTTCAAGTATAAAATATCCCCTAAATAACTCAACATCAAAATCAGTCCAGTGCCTTTTTTTCATTTCTGAGCAGTCAAAGTGCGATCGAGCGCAGAGCTGCAATCGTCTGCATCGAACAGTCAACGAGTTAGGCCACCTGTTAACCCATTCTTTCCTGACTTGCCCAAAAATATTTTTAAACGTTCTCCTCAGTTTCTTAATCCGCGTAGTCTGTATTTTTTTAATAGTCAGGGAATTAACGTGTCTTTGGATCCTGAGAACACGCTGAATTCTTATGTGTTTTAATTATTTTAATGTCTATCCATGTGTGTTTTCTTACTCTCACCTGTAACTTTATAGTTTCGTTCACTACCGTACAAGAATTGCTGGTAAAGTCAGGTTATTATACATTTTATTACATTTATACTCTAATTATACGATAACAAAAACTTACACAACGAACTTGACACTTGAGAGGCATACGGCCACTGGTACAAGCTCTCGTTAATTACGGCCTGGAGTCGTATTACAAGAAATACCGCACAACAAACTTGACACTTGAGAGGCAAACGGCCACTGGTACAAGCTCTCGTAAATTACAGCCTGGAGTCGTATTACAAGAAATACCGAGACTGGTACGGCAAGATTACAAACCTGCAGATGCTCTTCGATGTCCTTTCTTTCATACGTGATACCACTGGGCGTGATGACGGGTTCACAAAGGATCTCAAAACTTATTTTCCCACATAAATAATCTGGAACGTCACGTTTCTGGACGGAATAAATAAAACTGTTAGTGCAACCATAATTTTATCTCATCTCAGTTTATGATAAAGAAAATCCCACTACATGCAACTGAATCTCTTAAGTTCACGTCATGCAAAAATTTTTAAGTAGACTCGTACAGAACGACACTTACTCTTCGTCTGTCGTCGACTTTTGCAAATATTGAGTTCAATTCACTTGTGATGTTTTCCTGCGAATAAAAATAAGACACTGTAAATAACCACGAGATCAGAGATCTCGTGGTCTTCGGGACAGTAACGAGATGAGTGTGTTCCTCTGAAATGTGGTATCTTCCTAAATGTCAACCTGGCATTTCTTTCCAGAGGCCAACATTGGCACAAACTAACTAGTACAGTAATGAAATCTTCTTGCATTCAGTCCCCACGAAAGCCTCAAGTCTTACGGTCTTCACGATGTTGACGATTATTCAGCTGTTCTAAGAATTTTCTGCTGAAAGCAAATCACAACTCTGAATAGCTCCTCCTTTCTTAACGTTCAATGCAGCCATTCTTTCTACACAAATTCTTTTACCAAAATTGTTCCCTTCCGAAACCCATAGACGGCAGAGTTGTTAGTGGCCGCGATCTTTGTTCGGGGTGTCCGAGGCTTGGACACCAATATGCTCGCTGAAAATGTTCATGAGTTTCAGTTCCTTAAAACAGGCCACGACTGCTTCCCTCCATATTCCTTCAACTCAATACTTTACCACCATTCAATGTTTTAAGCCTGCGCAACTGAAAAAACATACGGAAACTACCGGATATAATAAATACAAAAAAAGTTACGTACACTTTGCTGCTCCACTTCTGTTATCTTGTCCTGTATTTGATCTTCATTGGCGCTATTTTCATATCGCAGTTTTTCAACTTGCCTTTCTGCGTCTTCACGTAATAATCTATTTAAGTAAGACTGGAAACAACGGACCAGTATTAACATTAATAATACAGTACAGTCTACTTCTTCTTTCTGGAGTGGGAGTATAATAAATTAAGAAAACAATTAACAGCAATAAAAATGTAAAATAATGAGTCTCAAACCATTCCAGTTTTAATAGATGCATAGTTTTAGCAAAAAACAAAAATTAATATAATTTGTCTCTCTTGTATCTTAACAGCCACTGTAATGGCCATAAAAAATAATTATTTACCTGGTAATCATGTAAAACAGTTTTCAATGTCATCACTCTGTGAAGCCCCCCCTTCAAAATATACCATTCCAAAATTATTTTTCTCTGATTTCCCCCTTTCTTCCTCCTGGACATATCCACCTGTCCCATCTCATTCCGCTGCACATTTGACAGATAAGTACTTTAGAATGTGTATGGAGAACATGACTCTACCCTATCAATTTGAAAAAGTCCTGGCAAAAGCTAAACATTTTCAGGATTTAAATACCTGCAGTTCAATTTCTTGTGCTATCCTCTTCTCCTCTTGAACATTCCACCTCTTCTTCCGAGCAGCTCGTAGCTGACTTGCTATGTCATCACCAAAGTTTAATTTCTGTTCTCTAGCCAAGTCATTTGCTAGAGGACAAGATCATTAATGTATAAAGCAATCAACGAGATCCACAGTGACAGGCTACGTGGCCGATTTTCAATTCCTGGCTGTCAAATATGAATATGAAACCTAAATAAACTGTGATTGTTTCTAACAGCATCAGCACAATGCCTTCATCATAGTTCTACTGTGATAAGTAAACATTACCAGGAATATAGATACAATGGTGATGTTAAGAGATTACTTAGAAGATTTTGTTTATCAGCTGTCTTCTACATGTTGTACTAAATGAAACATATCCTGCTGTTATGCCTTTTTATGTCCAGTCTTCAAATTCTGTGTCTACTCAGTACGATTGCATGCTTGCCACTTGAAATTTTTTTTGTAAAGAGGTCACAAATCACCTTTCAAGTTATTAAATGAAAACAATGCCATAACAGTGACTGAAAATTGTCTTGTTTACCTCTCTGTAAATATTTTATTGCTTCATCATAGTTGTCCATTTCAAGGAGTGCCTGGCCAAGAAAGAAGTGTCCTTTCACCAGATTAGGATCCATGTCAAGAGCTCGCCGACAATCCTGACATGATGCTTCCCATCGTTTCAGCTTCAGATAACAAAGGGCCCGATTAGTGAAGTAGGTTGGGATGTTGGGGTTTTTAATCTGCAATTATTAACACCGAATTTACATACTGAATTAACATTCACATTCAATTACCAAACAATTCTGTAACTAGACGACCTTGAGAATGTATCAACCATAGGCACTAAACCATATACATCATTCAATACATGCCCTATCAGAAACATGCAAACAGTTTATAAACTGAAACACGCGAAAATGTGTACACGTACAATGGCTTTTGTATAACACGACACTGCATCTTCATACTTTCTCAAGCTGAAAAATCTGTTTCCTTGGTCCTTTAATTCCTTGTCTGATAAATTTGCTGTAGAATACATGTACTTGCTCATTGCGGATTTTAAATGCCAATTACTTTCCTGAATTACATCAACAATACACAACAGTGAAATATAATACGTATGGTAAACACAAATAACAATCTTTGCACGCAATATTTCTCACTGACGAGACGCCATCATTGGCTACTAGAATGCGCACGCCTTAACCCCTGAGATGACTACCAACCTAACCGCACAATACTCCACTTGAATCCAGAGACGCCCAATCAGGTTGACTCGTTAAATTGAAATTTACTTACTGAAAATTTAAACCGATATAAACTATGAAGCCCATAATGAATTAAGACAATATGAATTTTTTTGTAAATATGGTTGGTTTTCAATTTTCTTTTTACATTGAATATAATGTCCCTACATTCAACAAATATCCCTAACTTCCCAGAAATAATCTTTGACAAGGCAGTAGTTGATCGCCTGAATGGTACTGTTTATTAAAGAGTTTCTGAGGTAGGAAGGATAAAAAGGTGTTTACCTTTTCATAATTTTTATAATAAATTACGGAGGATTATGGATATGTTTAGTTAGGTAATGGTAAACCAAACTAAGTAAGTCTGGAAGAAAATGAGTGAGTGTGTATTTGAATACAGTTCCGAGCGGAAGGTGGCTAGGCAGAGTTGAACGGAAGCTGACAAGCGCATTTGAGTGACGACGCAATGATGAAAGCCGGATAATTCTTTATACAGTGTACACTGGTATTGATAATTGTGTTAATTTGGTGTTTTGACGTTGTGTGCTTCGTCGCAATAAAAGTATTTAATACTTTATAGTTCATTTGTTTTACTCCATATAAGGCAGTGTTCTCATTTTGTGTTTAGGTACGTGAAGGAAGTTCCTTGTCATTTTTAAATTAGTTATTGCATACCTTATCTCTTAAGAATGACATTATTGTGTTTCAGGATACATAGTAATTGCATACAAGATGGGAGAAAATCCAACAGATTCTGGTCGTATATTGAAGATGGAGGTTGACTATAGTTCAACATGTGATGATAAAATACCAGAATGCCAGAAGTTAGCAAAAGATGGGAAAATACAGGATGCACTTGATACTCTTTTAGCCCTTGAGAAACAGACTCGAACTGTGAGTTTTGTGTATTTGATGTTACTTGAAGGGAGTTTGTGATCAGTTGTATGATTAATGCTCAAACATTGTCAATTTTTATTTCTTAGGGAGCAGACATGGTATCTACAGGCCGTGTGTTGGTGGCAATTGTACAGATCTGCTATGAGGCAAAAAATTGGAATGCTCTTAATGAGCATGTTGCCTTATTAGCTAAACGTCGAAGTCAGCTGAAACAAGCTGTAGCCAAAATGGTGCAAGAATGTTGTACGTATGTTGAGCAAACTCCAGACAAGGAGACAAAACTTAAACTGATTGGTACATTGAGAAATGTCACTGAAGGGAAGGTAAAGATTTTTTAAAATACACTCACAATTACAATCATTCATGCTAAGTGCAGGTTACAAGTATGAGCCCTCCTAATGCAAGGTAATTAAACTAATCATAACCTAACTTAAAGAGGAAAGATCTCTTGTGTGGGTTGTGAGTATACCATTAAAAAATTTGGTGAGAGATTTGTACTGTAATCTGCAGTTATTTTGTGTGGGATGTGAGTATACCATTAAACAATTTGATGAGAGATTTGTACTGTAATCTGCAGTTTAGCTGTCAGTGACTTGTGTTATAATACGTATTGTGTATTAGTGTCAGGTTTCTGTTTTCCATTCTGTTATTTATTACATGCTATTTTAAAAAAATTAAAGTTTTTCTTAGAGTTAAAATCTTTTCCTTGTATGCTCAGATCTACGTTGAAGTAGAAAGAGCTCGTTTAACGCACAAATTAGCAAAAATGAAGGAAGAAGAAGGAAACATTATTGAAGCAGCAAACATCATACAAGAACTGCAAGTTGAAACATATGGTTCCATGGAGAAACGTGAAAAGGTAAAATTGTCATATTTCTTTTTTGGTGTTAGGAATTAATAAGAAAATATGCATGAAGAAATATATACGATATTTAACAAGGAACATTGTGTTTTATAGTTTGATGTTAACAGTGCTGCTTTTTGGTATTAGGAATTAATAAGAAAATATGCATGAAGAAATATATACAATATTTAACAAGGAACATTGTGTTTTATAGTTTGATGTTAACAGTGAAATTCTTTTCTGGAGACTGGCTGAAATGCTGGAATGAGAATGAATTTTGTGTCATTTTTGTGAAAGTGTAACTTACGTAGGAAATAAAAATTTGTTACTGTAGGTACTGTATGCAAGAGTTGCAAAAAGATGCAACATTGGCTTCCATCGTAGGTACTGTATTCAAGAGTTGCAAAAAGATGCAACATTGGCTTCACCATGTCTTATCTGTAATAACCTGAGAAATTCTTAGTGGATTTTTATGTTTGACTCCGGAATTGCTGCGATACGTATCCATTTCTTAATTTGTTTTATAATGTTGGTGCTGGAGTTAAAAAGGTACTAAGGTGGAGGTGTGTAGTAAAGGCATGCAGTTCACGCCAACATCATGAAATATGTCGGCCAGCGTCTGAAATAATCGTATATCGGTCGGAAAGACGTGCAACGTAGTAATATATTTCCAAAGAAGGAGGAATCCAAAATTCTGCATGGAACTATAATGTGTTTTCTTAATGCCATGTGACTTAATTAACTTTACCTTCACTTTTGAGGACTAATATTACTGTTCATGGCTGCCTTCTGCATTGTAGCACTGTGTAGTAAGGTAGAAGTTTACCAGTGTTTCGGAGGTCTTTGCTGCCTCTGTCATCAGGGCGATGACTACACGGTGCTATGACATAGAAGACGGCCGTCTTCGGATGCACCGCCGTGGAAACCTCAAATCCTACTTAATGTTACTGTATAACAGAGTGAAAGTGTAGCGTATAGCCTTGAAAATCTTAAGGTTTAGGTGCTGAAATATTAATGATTTTATCCTTAGAATGATGCTGATGTTTTCTGTCTAAATATAGGTTGAGTTGATCCTGGAGCAGATGCGCCTCTGCCTCGCCAAGAAAGATTATATCCGAACCCAGATCATATCCAAAAAAATTAACACAAAATTTTTCGATGATGATGGGACACAGGATTTGAAACTGAAATTTTATCGGTGAGTGATGGAAATCGATCAGGAGGTAGATCCGCTTAAATCGACTTCCCGCGTCTTTTTTGAGTTTATCGTTTAAACTCGTCTTGCAGGTTGTAGTGTGATGTAGCTTGGTTTGACTCTATTTAAGTTTTCTGCCCTGCGTTGATTTGTTTATTCTTTTGAATTTTAGGAAGGAAATGAAAATAATGGCATTTGTATGATTATGATGACAGCACTGGCAGTTTATACTATATAGTGCTGAGTGGGGGTATGTTTAATGAATAATGAATTGGTAAGGTTATGGAAATATGAGCCGGCGTACCTCATTCAGTATAATGACTGGCTACGGACTGAGCGACCAGGGTTCGATCCCCGACGAGGGCAGAGGATTTTTCCTCTAGCCTCTGCGTCCAGACCGGTTCTGGGGCCCACCCAGCCTCCTGTCCCGGGGGTAAAAAGCACGGCCGGAGCTTGACGCTGACCACTCACCCCCATCTAGTGCCGAAATCAAGAAAGAGTAGGAGCTATACCTCCACTCCCCCCCAAATGGCCTGCATGGCGTGTAGTTGAACAGAAAAAAAAATGGTTGTGGAAATAGGTGGTCATAGTCAATTTTAAGGTATTATATGGATATTTACGTAGAGAGACCGAGGAAAACCGCAGAACATCTTGGTCAGGACAGTGGTCTCGAGGCCAATATATTAACCGCAGACCATGGACATATGAAGCAGGAATTCAAACCACTTGACTGTGATGTTCGGCGACTTGGTTGCAGATGGGAGACGGTTTTAAAACGGCTCATATATTGAATATAATTCTGCGGATACGTTATTGTGACTCGGGATAGGGACAAGTAGCAAACTGTTGTCAATGTGGTTAATGAACCTTTGATTTCTGTCAAAGGGAAAAGAATTTCTTTATCACTCTAGTGACTGTTAGTGTCTCAGGAGTCGATTTTTTCGAATTTGTGCTTTATTTTTGTTTTAATTTTAATCCTTTAGTCGAGAACAGGTTTTTGTGGCAGTGAGTACGAGTGCATGTTCGTTTACAACATTTTGGTACTTATAGACGTATTCTCGAGTACCGTCTTATTCCAGCGTCAGTATGCGACTGATAATTATTTTGTTGTTGAGGTTGATGATTGAGCTTGATCAACATGAGGGTTCATACTTGGCAACTTGCAAACACTACCGCGCTGTTCTGAACACACCGTCCATCCAAGAAGACGCTTCTCAGCGCCACCAGGTGCTGCAGAATGTGGTATTGTACTTGGTGTTGGCACCGTACGATAATGAGCAAGCCGACCTCACGCACCGCGTACTTCAAGACAAGTTATTGGAGGAGATCCCCATGTACAAGTAAGTATGGACGTGTCATGCCGTATGTTTTATAACATTTGAAAATGTATTTTTAACTTGAATTTGTTCGCCACTTTGGTTCTTGATGAATACAGAAATGAAGACGATTGAGGAATGCAGTCTTCGAAAGGTTTGCTCCACCAGTATTACAGCGACACTTCGTGTCATGGCATCAGCGAATCGATAAATAAGCATTTTAGTCGTGGCATTTCAGGAGCACATGCATCACTTTTATACTGGGATTGAGTGGGATTATTTTTACTTCCTCATATAAAACGTAAATCATTATATCGTAAAGAAAGGTTTAGGCTTTGAAAAAGTGGCTTTTCAAATGCTGTTTACCAGTTTGTTACATAACATTTTTTTAGGGCTTGCGAATATATTTATCTTTAACGAGCCTTGTTGTCTCTTTCTGTAGAGAGTTACTGCGTTTGTTCATAAATCCAGAGCTGATTAAATGGTCGGGTTTATGCGACATCTTTGAAAAGGAGTTGAAGCAGGGTTCAGCCAAGTGCAAAGCAACGGATGTTTTCAACCCGGACACCGAGGAGGGCGAGAAGAGGTGGAAAGATTTGAGGAGTAGGGTTGTTGAACATGTACGTATAAGATGCTTCAGGAAAACGTTCACCTGCTAGACCTTATGAGAATGTATTTTTAATTTTAGTGTCGACTTGCAGACATACTTTTTATTTCAAATTAAGTCACATTTGAGTCATCTTAGCAGAAGTGACTGCTTCTGTAGTTTTGCGGCCATTGTTTTTGCTCTAGAAGGTGAATTTAGAAGAATGAGGAAGAAGTAATGGGGTTACTTTGCAGTTCGTTGAGTGCCCCCGAGCACTACGCAGACTGAGCACATTAAAATCCTAGCATTCTGTCTGACTGTCCAGACTGAACGTTACTTGGTTTCCCTTACTTTCTTAAGCCAGATCCTGGGTTAATTCTTTAAGTTTGTTGTGACTCTTTGTACTCCCTGCTCCGAGTCCCTGCCAGTTAGTCATTTCTATCCGTAGCACTTTTGCTTCCCATTCGAGAGGTCCCGAGTTCAAATGTCTGCGTGGGGACTGGCTATCCTGACGAGGTTTTTCTTAGTCCCTCCAGGCAAATGCCAGGATAGTATTTTAAATTAGGCCATGACCGCTTCCTTCCACGTTCCCTGCAATTCGTTATTCACCGCCGTCCTCTAATTTGATGCTATAAAGTCAGAGTTGCTGAAAAAGCATCTTTAAATAAACTATAAATAAATAAAGTTTCCATCCATCTTCTCATCTCTTTTTTATATTCGTTACATGATTAAATAATTTACAGATTATTAACTGCTTTTATTAGCTCAGTAACTTCCATTAGATGCCACAGTCTCAAATGTTTATGTAAAGTGATATCTCCGCTTTTTTCTCGGCAGAATATTCGTGTGATGGCCAAGTATTACACTAGAATAACTCTGAAGCGAATGGCTGAACTTTTGGATCTACCTGTGGAGGTAAGGGAGTGTCATCTTTGAAACAGAACGTTATCCTTGAACGCCTTCTGGAATTCGTATTTAGTTGAACAGAAATTACAGAATTGTTGTACTTAATTTAATTTTAGGTGAAATGATGTCGCTGCGTTATGCGGTTTATTTTGTGTAACAGTCTGTATTTGAAACGTTATGCATTTTTATGGAATTTTGGAAGTATTTCTTGTGAGTATTTAGTTAATTAGTTTGTGTATTCACGTTGCATAACTGTGCTGTATTTTATGTTTTAGGAGACAGAGGATTTCTTGTCAAATCTTGTAGTAAACAAGACGGTTCTGGCCAAGACAGACCGGCCGGCCGGTGTAGTGAGCTTCACACAAAGCAAGGATCCAAATGATGTTCTTAATGATTGGTCCAATCATCTCAGCTCCTTAATGCAACTTGTGAATAAAACGACACATCTCATTAATAAAGAAGAAATGGTGCAGAAACACTTGTTGTCCGTCAGAGAATGAGTGATCTGGCGCTGATCATGAAGTGATGTACTCATGTTTGTAATGTCAAAACAAGTGAAACCCCCTTATGAATTTCTTCCGTAGCGTCTTTTTTCTTATAATTATGTCAAATGTTTATATTCCTTCAGAAATTAATTTCCTTGGACAAGGTGTACATTGAAAGAGCCAGGTTAGCTCAGTCAGTGTAGCGACACTACGGACTGGACGACCGGGGTTTGATTCCCGACAGGCAGAGGATTTTTCCTGTAGCGTCTGCGTCCAGACCGGTTCTGGGGCCCACCCAGCCTCCTGTCCAATGGGTACGGGGGTAAAGCGCGGCTGGGGCGTGACGACCACTCGCGCCCCCCGTCTAGTGCCAAGGTCGAGAATGAGTAGGAGCTATACCTGCTCTCCCCCCAAGCGCCGACATGGTGTACAGTGGGACGGCTTTTCTTTTAGGTGCACATTAAAAACAATAAAGAAATGTAGCGATGCTAAGAGGATTTTTGATGATATACATTGTCCAGTTGATCTACTGTTCGATGGTTACTAATTTCAGAAATTTGAGTTTGATGTTCAGATTTGTTGCTCGTTATAGAAATTTGAAATGTGGCTTTACTTTAGAAACATCGTATTTGCACCAAACATTAAATTTGTTATGGCGTATGTAGGTGCACTTATATCTGTGTTACGCAAATTTGAAACATTTCTCCAGCCCTGACAGGTTGTCTTTTTTTTTACGAACGTGGGATAGCGATTCACGAGTTACGAAGGAGCTTCGTAAGAGGGTTTTGCCGTATCTGTGTTGTTTTGCACTAATAAGTCGACGTAGATCTTGGCGTTGTATTGTTTGCTGTAATTTTCTGAGTGCAGTAAAGGAATTTCATTTAAAAGAAATTATTCTTTTTTAAGCTGCGTGCATTTACTTTCATCTGTTTTACTCGTGCACCCACTGAAGCGCTGTCATGAGCGAAGAGTTGCCACGAGGAGAATTTTTTAATAGGTGTTAATTGAATAATCCACTTAATTTAGATGATAGTTAATTATAATATTTTAATATTTACACAATAAATTATGGAGGTTTTTATGTCATTTTGTTAGATTTATATACTTCAATGTCTTCCATGTTACATTTTTTTTTGTAGTCAATCCTAGGATTGGTTTTGCAGCCCCATTACGGGGCTGTTACTCTTGAAGATACGACGGTGGTTTCGCCTTGCCTTCCGTGCCCAGTCTTTATCCATCAGGCTGGAAGAGGAGACGCGGACAAACATACGTGAATACGTGAGCCACGTTTTGTGTCAGACGTTAAAAAAAATAAGTTTTTATGAATCTTTGCAATTGTGTGACGGGAAAAAAGACGAGCTTGTTATTTCTTGTACTGTCTGGTACGTATTTTGTACAAATTTTTATGTGAAACTGCCATTTTGCGGAGGGTGTGATGGGTGGGTGGAACTTGTTTCTTTTTTGCTGAAGGGTTGCAACATTTACAGACAGACATTAAAACCATTCCCTTTTTAAATCTAATAAAAAACATTTTACCTTTCTTTCTGTCGTAAGCACGTGATATTCTGTTAATGTCATTTATATTTGTGAGAAAGGTTATAGCGCAGGATTGAGGTTTCCACGGCAGTGAGTTTGAAGATGGCATTTTTCTGGGTTTTGCCATGTAGTCTGGTAGAATTTTGCCGACGTTTCATAGGTCCTTGCTGCATCCACCATCATGGCGATGAGTACTTTGCCACTCTACATGGCGCTACAACTCAGAAGACAGCCATCTTCAAGGTTATAATGCTCTTTTGCAGGTGTTTCAAGACCCTATTCCGAATACCTTTCGGGTCTGTAGCATTGCCAACCCTAAGTCCCTTGATGAAGTGTAGGACTTCTGAGGGAGTGATTAATTTCGGTTCAATTGTGAAAGCATATTCATAAGTCTTATTAACCACAAAGAGAAGCGGAAAAGAAACATGAAGTACTTATTAATCGATCTCTGCTTAAAAACAGCATTTATATTCATTAACACATGCATGAAGTACTAATTAATCGATCTCTGCTTGAAAACAGCATTTATATTCATTAACACATGAACATAGGTTATGTTTTTTTTTTTTGCAACATTTTCCTTATTATGGGGTAACTGTTGCTTATAACTTTTTCATATTAGGTCTACAAACATTAGGAATTCGACTAACTGTGGTCTAAAGACGATTTATTGGAGTGGAGTAATGTACACACAGCGCCCTCACTACATGACAGTCACTTGGTTAGTCGTCTAATTAACGGGAAATGTGTTTGCTTTCAGTGGTACGACTGCAGTGCGCCATTACTAAATCAGAAGTAACACGTTTGCTGACAGTTGAGTTGGCGTGGTGTTTTGTGTCGGTGTTTTGCAGTGGCAATGTTTTAAGGAGTATATATTTCTAGATCTTTTTGTAATCATAATATCTTACGATCTGTCATTGTGTCACGCTCCGTGTTCGAATAGTTCATGTTTTGAACTCAATGGTGTGAAGATGTTATTACAATGCAAACGAACGTTGTGTATCAACAAAGTGCAACACGTTCCTTGTTACTTCGCGTATCCCATTTGTCGTGTTGTGTAATAAATCCGCTGTTTAAGGCCAATCTTATCCAGTTTCACATATCACACTGCATAGGCAGAAACTATATATTTGCATTTCGTTAAATATTAAAAGTTGTAGACTTATATTTTGTATCATGTACCGTTATGACGAGCCATGTTTGAGAAATGTGAAATTCGCGGTTTGGGTTTTATATAGGTCTGAAGCAAGGATTTCCCGGTAGAACCCAACGTTACATACGCCCTATGCGTTCAGTGTGGACACCTAACACTAATTATTAATTTGAATCTATCGACTAATTTCGTAGATGTCACATACGGACAGACAGACAGACAGGCATTTCAATTTTACTGTTCAGTTTTGTGTAAAGAATTAAAAGCGAAGTGAACGTTCAAGATGTTCTCGAAGTTTCTAAGGGATTTAAGGAGAAGTGTTTTCATGGTAGATGTTCAGTGCCCATTTGACAAGTGAAGTGACTCGGTGGCTGTTCGGGTTCACGAAGCAGCGAAGTCATTTGGAGGCCAAGCGCATTTGCTCAACTGTAAGTAGGGCTGTTATGTGCCTTTTATTTATTATTTTTTATTTATCGTAATTTAGTGAATAGATGTTTCTATTTGCCTTACATAGTTGGGCTTGTGAATTGTGATTGTTCTTTATCGTGTAACCAGCCTGAACACTCATCAAAGCGTAAGTTGCTTTCAGAAACCTACTCGCAGTTTCCTCCTTAAGAATCTGATATTACGCACAGCTTGTAAAATTCCTAAGTTGCTTTCAGAAACCTACTCACAGTTTCCTCCTTAAGAAGCTGATATTACGCACAGCTTGTAAAATTCCCTGCCTTTTACAGAACGTAATGCTCATATAGTATTCACAAGAGTCCGCGAATGGTCCCTGTCCTCAGCCAGATGAACTCAATCTATACCCTCCAGCACTATTTCCTTAATAAATGATTTTTTTTAATATTGTCCTCACTTCGATGCCGAGGTGTTTATAGTGGCATCTTTTCTTCAGACTTCCCAGCCAAAATTTTGTACGCATTTCTAATCTTTCCCAATGCGCGTTACATGCCCCGCCCTAAAGATATGCGAATCTTTTTTGTGGAACAGATTTTTTTCGTGTGTAGTTGTACACGAATTGATCACCGTAGATACACGAAACAAAAATGTCTACCGAGGCTTTTTTTTTAAAAAAAAAAACTCGCCAGTACTTGATATCCGCCACTGGCGACGGCGTCGCCCGCAACTTCTTCCACCTCCCGCTGCTTCTTCGTTGGCGTGACATGCACGAAGCTCTGGTTCCAGCGTGTGCTTTTTTTTGCATAGTACAGAATCTCGTATGCACGCCTTTCGAACGAACTTCACTCGCAGTTCGTGAACTGCTCTTTTTAATAAAAAAGGAGCAGAGTTACCCTTTTCCTTCTCATGTTAATAAATAATGAGAGGAAAAGGACGCAGAGCTTTGCTGATG